ACGCTGATCTAAACTCCTGACAACTGAATGTTGAACAGGCCGCAGCTAAACGGGCTGAGCAGGAATCCGAAGGGCCACAAAGCAGTCGAAATTAATTAAAGAACGGGTCATTTAATGCTGAACGGGCCTTTGACAGCTGAACCGTCTGAGCAAGAATCCGAGGGCCACAAAGCACGGGTTAATTAAAGAACGGGTCCTTTAATTATTTAATTAAAGAATTCCAAGGGCCACGATTGCAGCAGGATTTAAATAAAAAATAGATATTTAAATGTATATTTTTTAAATCACAAAATGTGAAGAGTTTTTTTATTAATTTTTTTAATTAATTTCAGTCATAAAGTTAAAATTTTAAAGGCTAAAAAACTGAAGCAATATGAAATGAAAAGTTTTTTTTTTTTAATAAATAACTATTTTTTTAATGACTAATCAATTTTATAATGATATGAGGGAGGTTTTTCAGCCTATAAATAGACCAAGGAGAGGAGAAAAAAGGTGGAGTCTTTGTACCTCCCTAGAAGGTGATACGGGATTTCCTAAAAGAAGAAAGTCGTCTCCGTCCTGCGTATCAGGCAAACAACGAGATTTTTTTTCTCGTTGCGGCGAAGAGTTGCGGTAACATGTTGCGGCGAACAGTTGCGGCTAAGAGTTGCGGCGAAGAGTTGCAACGAAGAGTTGCGACGAAATGTTACGGTGAAGTGTTGCGGCGAAGAGTTGCGACGAAACGTTGCGGCGAAGTTGCGGAACGTTGTGGGGAAGAGTTGCGGCGAAACGTTGCGGCGAAGAGTTGAGGCAAAACATTGCGGCGAAGTGTTGCGGCGAAACGTTGCGGCGAAGAGTTGCAGCGAAACGTTGCGGCGGAGCATCTTTGCGGGGTGTCGCGGCGACGCCTTGCGGCATGGCGTTGCGACCACGCGACACATTGTGGTGGAGCGTCGCATATTCCAGAGGAAATTCTTGTGTTGCTTTGGCACGTTATGAAAGTGATGAAGAAATGATGTAGTTTTCTCGCCTCGCCATGAGGGGGGAATTTTCATGCTTATGTGGTGGCGATATCTCGAGACCCCTCGACGATCATCAGAAAAACCATAATTTTAGAAGATGAACTGATTTGTTGTAGCCCTTATACATGTATATGTTGATATTTGTAGCATTTTTATTCATATGATGTGACAATTGTAGATGATAATAATGTGTTTTTTTTGTTGCTTCCATGGTTGTTGTGGCTTCTTAATTGTGCAAAGTTCTTCTGAGGCTCGTAGACTTCTGAGGAATTATGCACTTGTGTCTTCTGAGGCTTGTAGTATTTTGAGGTCTTTGAGTGTATCTGTGCCTTCTGAGATCTTTGAGTGTACCTGTGCCTTCTGAGGTCTTTGAGTGGACACCCTGTCAACCACTTGCTCTCATTGAGTCCTAGTTGAGACTCCTCCATTCTACGTATTTGATCTTCTATAGAAGGACCTGTAACACCTTCGTTGGCAGGATAGCGGCTTCCAGGACGGGAAGATGAAGAAGCATGCTGCCCTTAGCTTCGTGACTGCTCCCTCGAACGATTGGTATTGGAGCGAGATGCTCCGTTGTCACAAACATTGTGTCTGGTGGTCATGTAGTAAATCGCGTAAGTACTTTAGTTGTGAGATTGAAACTTTCCCATAGACGACACCAAACTGATGCGTGCTAGAAAATTCACGGCGGTAGAGTAATGGATTATCGTCTTAGCGTTGCACAAGGATTCAACACACACTCAGATGAAAATGAATTAAGTTGTGACAGCAACAAAAGCTTTTATGTGGAAAACCTGTAAAAGAACTCGTCTCACATACGGGAAATAGTTACTAGATTTTTGAAGTTATAACATTGACTGACGGTGTCTGGTTGGTGGTGTCGACAACAATTGACAGTGGTTTTCAACAGTTGACACTAGTCGACAGTGGTTGGTGGTGGTCGACGACGTTCAGCGGTGGTCGATGGAGGTCGGCGGTGATCGACAGTAATCGATGACATCGATGACAGTCAGCGGTGGTCGATGGAGGTCGGCGGTGATCGACGGTGAGCGGTGGCTAACGACAGTCGATGACGGTCCACGGTGGTTGGCAGAGGTCAGTGGTGATTAACGGTGGCCGACGGTGGTTGACATATGTCGGCCGTGATGGTCGACGGTCAGTGGTGGTCGACAACGATCGACTATGGCATGGATGATCTTGGACTTGAGCTCCTTCTCAAAGCCTTAAGTTCTCTCTTAAGCCTCCTTCTCTCATGTTAGGGGTGAGACTCTATTTATAGTGTTATAAACTATTTTGATCGGACAGTCCGGAGAGCTTCCCTTGATCAGATGATGTTTGATAAACATTTGAGTGTCTTAACAATGTCGGAATTGAGCAATCTTGGGCTCCTTGGATTCGTCTTGTCGAGATGCTCGATTCGACTATGAACTCGCTAGATTCGACATCTGTTTGACCTTTAAAAGCCTCAAAAAATCCTTCAAGAGTGGTTTAATGATTTGATCTGGGCTTGATTTGACTTGGATTTGACTGACTTTTATATCATTAGGTCTATCTCATCAAGCCGATTAATTTCACTATAAATTTGTTGAAATCCGAGCTCTGGATGACTCTTAATCGAAGTTTGGATGTTTCTTGTTTAAAAAATTGCACCGAGATTTGTGCTGGTTGATGAAAAGTTGTTGGTGACGTATCAGATACATTCCTTCTTAGTCGGTTTATTATTATTATTATTATTATTATTATTATTATTATTATTATTATTATTATTATTATTATTATTATTATTATTATTATTACATCATCAAAGATGAACAAATTTATTAAAATGTTACTCTAAAAATTACATATAAATGTGCATTATTCTTATATAAAAAAAAGAAAACACGGCCTTATAAGTTATTATAGATTTAAAAAATGAAAAAGTTACATGCATTTTTGTTGTTGATGATCACCGCCAACAGCTTTCATCACTCGTCTAATGTTCTGATCAATCACCATTTTCTTTTTGAAGTTATTGGCCATTGTCACTCATTCATCATAAGTTTGTATTCATCAATATCATCATGTTTATGTTGTCGCCTATTGATTGTTATTATTGCTCTTTACGACCTATCTACAATTCACCATTACATCAATAGAGAACTTATAGTTTGTACTATTATCATCTTCAATTGAGAAAACGAGCAAGTTATTTATTTATTTTTTTTACCAATATAAAGGATCATTCATTTAGGCCAATTTCTGGGTCTTTCATATAAAATTAAATTTTGTAACAACTTTTGACTTAAAAGAGTGTTTAATATTTGCAAGACATTGGGTTCTGTATCGTTCATGAGTACATACAACTGGACAAAAAAACATTGTGAAGTAGTGTGTGTGAGAGAGAGAGAGAGAGAGAGAGAGAAATGGATGAAAGTCTTTGAGGAAAACTTAGAAAATATATTAATTCTCAATCTCCGGTAAGTTGAAGGGAAGCAACTTTTTAGAGTATCTCAGAGCTACAGTATCATAGAAAGGGAGAGCATAGAAAAATGGAGATAGAAAACTAAATGCAGTGGAAAGTAGAGCATGATAGAAAGAGAGAGGAAGTCCTCCCTTTCTATCATTTTTCCTTCCCCTGTTTATAAGGGGAGGAAATTTATAAAATAATCAAGTCAATACATTTTCCACCATATGGTGTTTGTTCTTGATGAACTGATGGAAAGGTTGTGAGGTGAATGTCAGTCATTGTCGGCTGATGTTAGGCATTGTCTGTGGATATTAGATATTATCGGTAGGGCGGCTACTTTTGTACTTAAGTAAGAAGATAGAATCTCAAATGTCAGACGTCGCTTTTAAATAAGGAATTTACGGATGTCATTGTTAGTCATGATGACTTTCTCTGAAGGTTGCCCTAGCCCAGGTGCACTAGGTTAACCTTTCGAGGAAATTTAGAGTGATAGAATTTGCAAGCAAGCTCGCTTCAACCACATTGGTTGGGCAGCACAGTTCAGTTCAACTACTTTGATAGGTGAACTCGATTCAATCACTTTGGCAAGTGGGCTCAATACAACTTGGCCACTTCTTTATGTGGGCTTAGTGCAACCACTTCGCTAGATAGGCTCATTATACCCACTTCGACAACTTGCTAGTTTTCACAAGGGAAAATTTTAGCAAAAACTTTTTATATACGTGTATTTGTGTATGTAAAAAGCATCAACTCAACCATAATATAACAAGTTATATTGCACATTTCAAAGAATGATGAGTGGCAATACTAGAAAAATAATTTAAAGGACGTTAATATTAATTAAACTATTAAGGTGATATTTATTAAAATTAGATAAATAATAAGTTTTAGACTGTTTTAATATATGCAATAAGGAAGGATGGATGATACATCAATTAATTACACAGAAAAAAATTATTATTAAGAGAGACAAGAAAAAGTCTAAATAAAATTTATACGAACATAACTTATTCATAATGATTTATATATATATATATATATATCTCAAATAATATTAAATATCAGTAAACAAAAAAAAATAAAAATAAATTTATAAATTATGATTAAAATAGTGGTAAAATGACTAATGATAACTACATATAACTAAAAAATTGAACTTGATTAATTTTTTTGACAAGTCAACAACCAAAACAAATTATCATACCAATACTCTTCCCAAACAGCTTAGGTTGGTTGAGCTCCAACCATATTAATAAAAATAAAAATAGAATTATTTTTAATTATTAGAGATTCATTCAAAATTATTAGGGAGGCCCACAATTATAGCACCCCAGATTTGACTAGTCTAACCCTTTTAGGCTTTACTCATTAGAGAAATTTTATATAAATATGAAAATCAAGTTGGTCAAATCAGATTTCAACGGTTGCCAGTAAGATTTTACATTTATATGCTCAAAATATAATTTTTATTTACATTAAAAATAACCCCTCACTCAAATATCAAAATTCATGATAAAATTTCAACTCATATTTTTTATTTTTATTAAATTCTCAAAGATTTGATTGTGGCACACGTAAATGCATCAATTCAATAGTTAAAAAAATCACCTGGGTGCCGCCGCAAAATTTCAGGGGCTGTGTCTGTAATTATCCGGAAAAACATATCATTTTGGAACTCATCCATCAGTACCTCCCAGACTGTTTAATAGGTTGAAAATGTCTAGCTAAAAGAAAAGATACATATATATATA